CTTCCTGTTCATAAAAATACATATCCATACATAAAAAACATCCTTCCCCTCATCCATTTCTTTTGAATTCCCTACCCTGCTGTCTCCTCCTCTGTGTCCCAACTTGGAACCTGGGAATTTCCCATCTCTTCTAGAGCCAATTTCCTTTGCTGTCTCTTATGCCCTACCCAGAGACCTTACAGATCAGACCTTAAAAGCAAAGCCAGGACCAGAGGCTCTCTTAGGACCACCTCTTCCCTACCTCTCTTCCCAGGGAGTGTCCTTTCTCATCTGCCAGGCCATGTAGTTGACTTTCCTCTGCTTCTGAGACTGCTGTCCCTGTGCTCTTTTCCTGGCACCTCACATCCTCCTCATCCTCCTTCTTCCCAGGGCCACAATAATCCCAAGGAGTCCGTGGTGGCTCTGTGCTGCTAATGCAGAGAGGTGCCATCATCTGGGTTACCTGCAACACAGATTGATTGCTTCAAATTGTGAAGGCAAAACGAAGAAGAACTAAGCAGCACAGATGCTATTTTTGTTTTCACTCATGAATGCTTTTCCATTTTTAGGAATCCTGGCAAAATGTTCTGATGAAGCCCCGTGTTGTTACTTCAGTGTCAGTTCAATGACATCTCTGTGCTTTAGGGCGAGCTGTGTTTTGGCAAAGCAGGTGCCTGGATGTGGTACCAGCTTTAAATGGGAGGCAGGGCTAGGCTTGGGACAGGGAGCAAGTGATCTGAGGACATCTGCTTCATCCCCAGGCTGTTTCTATGCATAGGGATGGTGGATGACCTGAAACCCCTACTGTTTCAGGAGGGCCTGAATTATGCCACCCACTTTCTTGCCACCCAAACAGCCCTACCTCTGAGAACAACTGGAGAAGACTGTGGTCTTCACACATTCTCTCTGCCTTTTGGTAGTTTTCACTATCATTCTCCCACAGAGGCTCACTGAGCTCCAGCTCATGGTCTGCCTCTTGGCTGCTCTCCTCTAGCTTCCCCATGGACACCTCTTCAGTATTCCTCCAGTTCCCCATGTCCAGATCCAAGCTTGAATCCCAGCTGAAAAGCGACTGGAAGTCACTGCTCTTCTCTGACTCACTGGGAGACTCCGTCTCAGACTCCCAGCACATCCAGGGATGGCCCATCTGTAAACAAACAGAGACAGCAATTTCTTTGTACCCTGATGCAGAACTGCAAAGCCCAGCTCATTTCCTGACACACTCAAAGGGGTGAAGCATGAGAAAGACTCTGTGAGTCCAGCCTACACCTGAGCCCACGCTTGCCAGCACATGGCAGGGCAGGAGCCCTGCAACACAAACTGCTATTTCAGAGCAACTGAATGTCAGGTTTTCTGGTGCTTTTGCTGTGCTGCCTGGGGGTCAGGGTGTGACTGCTCAGGGGATGCTGAGCTGGTTGGGAGCGTGTGGCTCTGTTGGATGTGATGGTTAAGGTACCAAAGGCAGCCAGCAGCAAACTCAAACCAGGTCATGCCAGGGCTCTCGAGCTGCTGGTGGTTGTGAAGCACCAGTGACTGAGAACTCACCAAGATTCCCTTGTTAACATTTCATACTGGAAATAACTTAGTACGAACTTAGTACGAACACCACAGAAACTTTGTTTTGAAAGTGACAGATGTGATTAAGCTGGATGGTGACACCTTGTGTACCTGAGCCAGAATAATGATAACCACAAACAGTCACTGACAGGAGACAGTTCTACATGTTTCAGAAAATAAAAGTTCTCTTAAGAAGAAAGAAGCCATTAATTTCATCTCTGAGCCTAAGTGTCTTCTACTGCACAAGTCCACTATGATTTCCCTAATCTGGAGAATTGCTGGCAGAGTGACAGTAACCACAGTAAATGGCTGTTAGAAAAATCTATATCTTGGCAACAAACTCAGCTGCCTCGATGCTGTAACCTATGGAGAATTCTATGCATTAATTACCAGTGTCCTTAGAGTTTTCAGTTAATTATGTACAGACTAATTTTTCCAGAAATTTGAACATACACGTTTCTCACTGATTTCCTTTTGCATTCTCAGAACTGCTAGCACAGCTACAAATAAAGGTTAGGGTGCATACAGGGAGAAATAAGGAATCCTCTGGGTTTGGGATGAGACACTTATTTATTTTATAACCTTACAAACAGAGGCAGGATCTGAAAGGCTGTCCTTCTGAAACCTCTAAGTTAACTTCAGTGGAAGCAGATAAAACGTGATGAGGTAAGACATAACATTACCTGCTCTCAGTTAAAGGGTTGGACAAACTGTGGTTTCAGAGTAACCTCACGACTCAAGCACTTCCCTGCACCATCAGCAGAACTGGCTGCACAGCCAGGACCAGGCACCACCGTTCAGGTGAGCAGAAAAGCCTTTGCCTAAGGTAATGCGATCACTTGTAATCATCTTTCTGCACCTCAGTGGGGAGGGATAAGCATTTTAAAAATCAAGAAGCCCAGGGAATTTGGGCGTAAGCCTGGACTAAAAAAGACTTCAGCCTTATGTTGAGTTTGACTAAATGTTGGAAGATCCAAGATGCCAGAAAGTGGAACAGCAGAATTAGTGCAAGAGAAGTGTGATGAATTAAATAATTACAGACAGCTCAGTGCCATTCCAATTCTGTACAAAAAATAAGGAACAAAAAGATCAGACTTCAATTTTTAATTAAGAACTGCCTGCTAACTCTTCATTACGTTGGCTACATAATCACCAGCAAGGAATCATTATCAAATGGAAAAGCTGTAAGTTCACTCTGCAGAGATCAGACACCGCACAACCCTCGCTGATGTAAGGAAAAGCTGCTAGGAATAAAAGAATCATAGAATCATAGATTCTAAGAGATGGTCTTTAAAAGGAACCTGCATGTCAAAACAAGGAAAGTGATAAAAGCCTGAACTCTAGTAAATATCTAGAATCCACAAAAAAGGAAAAAAAAAAAAAAAAAGAGAAAAAATTGGAAGAACAATTTGCTAAAAGACATAAAAGTAAGAAAACAAACCTCATCACAAAGATCAGAGGCAGGGAGCTGCCAGATGAACAGGGGCGGTGAGGCATGATCAGTGCCAAACATCTCTGAGGAAAACAGGGCCAGTTGGAAAAACCAAATTAATCATCATTATCAGCAGTTGCCACAGAGGAGATCACACCAGACTCTCTCTTGGGATGGGTCTGAGAGATTGTTTCTAATTAAAATGTCAACAGGGGAGGTTTTAGAACAGTTTGAAGGAGGGAGTAAACCTCAGAACCAGTTGGGTATTCACTCCTGAGTCCTAAAGAAGCTTAAATATAATATGACCAAGCCTATGCTGTGTAACCTGTCATTTAGATTAGCTACAGCACAAGAACAACAGAAAGATGTGATTGTTGTATGTGTCTGTGAAAGGGTGGATGTTGGGAGATGCTGCACAATAATCCTGAGCTCTGCACTAGATGGATTAGAACAAAGTATTAGGAAGGACAGAATTAGCAGTCAGAGCATGGGATGATGAATTGGGAAAGAATTAGGTTCTCTGAAGGGAAATCAGATTTAAAAAAATGTTAACCATAATTAAAGGCTATTAAAATGTCATGGGACCAGATAAAAGGCTTTTTTGAGGGAAAAATACCTGGTCAAAGAGAAGAAACCAAGGTTAGGAAGGAGCAGCAGCGCTTTCCATAATGAAAGGAAGTTACTAGTGGGCATGATAAACTTCCTCCCATGTGCTGCAACTTCGAATTTTCAACACGGACAAAGACAGTGCAGAAGTGTCACAGAGGAGACAGAGACAGACTCTTCTCAGTGGCAAACAGTGAAAAGAGAGGAGGCAATGATGACAAGCTGCACCAAAGGAAAATCAGATGGGACATAAGGCACGTTTACTCCATGAGGGTGGGAAAGCACTAAAGTAAATTGTCCAAAGGAGTTAGGGAATCTCCATCCTAGGTACTTTTCAAAACTTGACTAGACAAAGCTCCAAGCAACTTGATCTACCCCTGAAGCTGGCCCTGCTCTGAGCAGCAGGTTGGACTAGATAAACGCTCAGAGGTGCCTTCCAACTGAAATTATTCCACACAATACCAGAAACCGAAAGAAACCTGTAACTTAACCACCTGTAATCTCTGTAAACCAAGACCATAACAATTCAGATCAGAAAATTTGTTCCTAATTTCAGTAGTGAAGAAAAATTAACCAGTAAGTAAACCAAAGGATTCTACATTTCTAACATCAGATTTAAGGTGACTCTTGGTGGCAACTTACCTGAGCCAAACATGGGACTCAACACAGCAAGCACAACCCATTTTAAAACAAAACTTGTGAAAATCAAGGTAACAATTCCTCTGGTCTTAAATCACAATGACTCAGTTTTCTGCAGCTCGTATGTCAGCAAGCTGCACCCAGTACAAGTGCAGACCACTCCCAGCTGCTGCAGGATCAGGAAGGATCATGTTTTGGTTTGTTTTTTTTTCCCCTCTGGAAGGTCACGGGGGCTGAAAATAGGCAAGTTTTGTCTCACAGGTGATATGAGCAGAAAATAAGTAGGTGACTTGAAAACTGTCAAGAACTTAAACCTCCTAAGCACCCATGTTGCTGAGGGAAAGAACTGTAATGTCCAGTGGAGAGAAACAGTTCACAAGCTCCAGTGTGAAACCAGGTACCAGCATGTCTAGAGCTGCTGAAATCACAGGTTTCACTCTGACTAGTGCAGCCTTTACAAATCTCTGGGGGAAGAATGTAAGGTACATTTCAGTACACGAGTCTCTTAAAGAAAGCTCCAATAGCCTTTAGCTTTTCCTGGTTAGATCTATTCCGTCACCACAGTGCCATGCCCTCACACACACAAGCAGGGAATCTTCCCCTCCATCCAAGCACCATGCAACACTCCCATGAGTAACAGATTGTCTCTCATGTCAAAGCCTGTCTGCTGCACTGGAAGAGTCATATTTGCAGATACTCAAGACAAGTACGGATGTTGCACACAAACAGGGCTCCTCCCCACAGGGAGCTTGATGCTCAGCACTGCACATCGTACGCTGGATTTGTTCCCAGACTTTAATATACATACACATTTACACATCACTAGTAAAAATCTGTACACTTCACATTACAGTACATACGAGCCACCAGTTGCTAGCTAACACCAGAACACTGATGAAGCCCAAGACGACTGCCCTAAAACAGGCAGGGGGGCTAAGTCTTCCCCTCTGGGGAAGTTTCTTTGGGTTACACATTTCGACGACACACTGCTTCCCAGAGGGACAAGCGAAGAAGGTGGACCAGGTCCCAGAAATGGACCCGGAGCTTTTCTTTCTCCTCCATCAGCTGTTACCAGCCTCTTGCTTGCACTCCAGCTCTGGATGCGAGGCGCTGGGATTTTGTCTGCCCGCAGCATCATTTCTTCATCTTCAAGTCCGCCTCGATGGCACAGCGACGCCCTCTGGTGCCTCCGTCCTAGGCACAAGGCAAACAGAAAATGTTACGCAATCCTGAGCACAAAGCACCTCCTCCAGCACTCGGGGAGGCCAGGAATCTGGTAACAACTTTTGACATTTTCAAAACGGGAGAAAGGGCAGCTGTCCTAATAAGGCCGGGGGAGGCCTGCCTGCAGACCTACCTAGAATCCTCTCTGGACACAGCACAGGGACTGGGATTTGCAGGATCTGTGTCACTGGCAGCCAGGGCAGAGAGGCAACACGGCTCTCGCCCAGACCGATGCTCTTGGTGCCTGTACAGTGCAGGCTTTCTCCTAAGTGGCAGATTCTAGCTTGGCTCTTAGGTTGGGAAGAGGAAACTGCTGACTAACCTACCTTATCAGCTGCTGATCCCTACGGGAAGTGCTCCTCCAGTTGAGTGACCCTGGCACTAGCTCCCTAGTTTCTCCGCACAGCTCCTTTCCATGAGCAGAACGTGAGCTGAGAGCTTCCTTTGATCCGCTGCCCTCTCCCTCTGGCTGACATGCTGCCTCTCCTGGAGGACTCCTCTGTCTTTAGATATATGTGAGAGAAAAAAACAGCTCTCCATCTTCCTCCCTCTCTCCTCCCCACAACTCAGACATTTGGGGATTCCCAGAGGGAATATTTTTTCAAACTCTTCCAGATCACCACAGGCACAGAATGAGGTATTTCTGCAAAGTATCTGTTTTCTGGACCATGAATGATAAAGAAGTACACAGCTGACTCCTCACCTTCCCAAGACCCTTTGTACTGACTCAAACATGTGGAAGGGGCAGCTGTATAAGCATGAGAGATGTAAGAACTATAGTACTGCACTGCTTGGTCTGTCTTCCCACTTAAATGGAAAGAAAGCAGGAGAGAAGTTGTGGAAAAAGCAAAGGCAGATGACAAAATAAGAACACTTGGAACCAGAAGAGAAGACTGAAGCCCCTCCCAGTCACCCACGCTGAGAACAAGGGACTGAGACATTTCCTCTGTAATGATGATTGTTCAGCCCCTAAGTTAAACACACACCACTGCAGTGCTAAGGATGCTGTGACAGTGCAGGGATCACCCAGACAAGGAGCAGAGCACACTGCCAGCAGGACCTGCTGGAGCCTTTCAATACTTACAAAGAGAGAGAGAAGGAAGGCAGGAGAGCCCATTGGGACACTGTCCTGTTAAAAGGCCAAACAGAAGGACTTATCAGATACGGAAATGCACACACCACATAGAAGCACCACACACAAGCATAGAGAAACATGTGCCCCACTCCCCTTCCCACATGGCATCAGTCATATGCAGCAGGAACATAAAAACAGGCAAAAGAGGGATACTGCGAGAGTCAGAATGCTAGGAAAGGGATATTCCCTCTGCAGCCATGGCAAGGCCTGGCCTACCAAACATCTCTGTACTGCAGTTGCCAGTAGAGCCAAGCAGGCAGTCCTTGCTGTCACACTGTTGTGTGCATCACCTGAGGTCACTTAATTGAGTCTGGGTATGTCTTTACAGAAGGTAAAAAAAATAATCTACACTGCTATTAGATCAGTGTGGAAGTCCAAGGTTCTCTGGTGTGTTTTACACAGCAAACCAGACTACAGTGATTTCCTGGTTCTAAAAATCTGAGTAGGAAGTGAAGAACATGGCAGAGGATGGTCTTCCAATTCTCTACACCTTCACCTTCCTGTCATATCACACCTCTTCCAACACTCTCTTCATTTCCCCACAGCTTTCATCACTTGTTTTTAAAAACAGGGAAGTGACGTATTTGGATTACAGAAATAATTCATAAGACCTGCCTCTGGGATGATGTACAACTCCAGAGATAAAATCTAAGGAATGGACACATTTAAAGAAAAATTTGCTCACATGAAGGTACTGGAGCCATTGCAATCTCAAAAAACATTCTGCCTATCTCTGATATGGGAACTTCATGCACGATATTAGGATCCTCCAAAAAGTACCAAGTGCCCTTCCACAGGGTGCAGCATTCTCACCTTCTCTGAAGCATCTTGCTTGCGAGTAGAGTCTCGCCCACGCAGGCTCTTTGCACTGATTCCTGACTCTGATGTTTGCATGATCAGCTGTGTGGCCAGAAATTGCTGCAAGAAAACCACACTCTTCAGATTCTCAGGTAAAACAAACTCAGTGCGTGTGTGTCAGTTAACAATCACAAACCACAGGCTGGGAATGACTGGGTCAGAGGCAGTTTCAGTTCCTTATCTGCTGCTCAGAATAAGTTCCTCCATTACCTCAGAAGCCACAAGTCCTGAGGAACTGCAGAACCCCAGTCCAAACTCTGTTAGCCCTGTTGGCTGAGACATTCTGCTTCACAGGAAATTATAAGTGGCATATAATCACAGGACACAGCTTCATGTACACTTCAAACCAGCACAAACCAGCACAGCCACCAAAAGGAGCAATCGCGTCCCCTGTCATTCACCATTCTTGTTGCCTGTTTCTGTTTCTGAACCACACCCTGGTTCTTGCAGGCCTAAGCATTTCCCTGAAGGAAGGTTGATTTTCAATTGGCTGAACCAAATAAACATTTTGCTGTGTTAGTTTCATATTACCCATGATCTACTTCACCACAAACACCTGAGAGATGCAGGGGAAGAAGGGACTACTTCATTCAAAGACACTGTGAGTGAAACTGGTCTTACATCCAGAAGTCTCTCCCGTGCCTATGGACCAAGGCAGATGCTCTGTCCTGCACTGGCCTCAGCTCAGTACTTTACCTGGATCTGCTCCAGGACATCTCGTTGCATCTCCACAGCCATGTGGTACACATCATGGTCAGAGCTGTTGTACATAACTGCATTTTGAAACATCAGCATGATATCACGCTGGAACTCAGCTGTGGTTCGTATCAGCCCATTCTCAATGTTCTTTTTGATGGTAGACAAATCCATTGGCCTATGAAAGAAAGGCAGTCAAAACAGCAACAGACATATTTAACCCTTTTTTCTCACTTTTGTGGACAACTCCATGTCTACTATACGTGTAGTTGGGCCACCTATTTTAGTCAAAAGGTTCTCCCCCACACAGGCTGTATTCCTAAGTACCAAGGCCTCAGGTCAGAAGACACAAACTGACCACCAGTCACCATGAAATGTAACAACAGCATGACAGATGCCTCAGGAGAGGCATTTGCCTCCTCCAGCCATGACTGAAGGAGAAACTAAGGAACTACAGTTACAGCAACTGAACTGTTTAGGAGAGATCTTGAGGGCTAGCAGCGGATTCTGACAATTCTTCTAGAAAAGACCACTATCTGGAACAGTAAAAAAATACTCATCAGTGAATATAGGTCTTTAGAATTTCAAAGATTAAATCCTACCCTTGAATAGAAATTGGGAGAAGCAGAGCAGTCACATACCACCTTACTGATATAAAATGTTCTGTGTAAGTCAGTGTACTTCATTCAAAGACAGGGCTGTGTAAAGACATCACTGAAGACAACCCCTTTCTTAGGGAAACCTGTTTTTGATTTAATCATGCCATGAAAAATTTTCCAAACCTTGCATGGCAGCCTAAAACTACATCATTCCTGCCAGAAATTCCTACACAAGCATGCAAATATAGAGTTCTAATGACAGAAAACTGCTGAGACTCACCTCTGCACAATGCTGTGGTAGCCTGGTGCTATATCATCAGTTACGGGCTGCAGGAAGACATTGGCATACCTGCAGAGAGAAGGAGACCACTTAGAGCCTCCTCCTTGCTGGAAAACATTTGGTTCATGCTCTCATGTTTATTTGTCTGCTACCAGTAACAATATGATTCATCACCTCCTGGTACTAAGGCAGATGAACCTCTGAGATGGGAGAGCAAAGACTTGTCTAGGGTTAGTCACTTGTTTCTGGCAGTTCTCAAGACATCAAACTCACCTGTGATTAGCTGCTGCTCTCCAAACTAGCATGATGGCTTTCTTCCAGATCTTCTGGGCCTGTATTGCTTCCTGATCCTCACTGCACACTGAGCTGGGAAGAAAAGAAGAGTACTTCCTTTGGGAGTCTGCATACTGCCTTGGAGCAGAAACCTTATGGTTTATTCTGCCTCAACACACCTACACTAATCCACACGCAGACCGAGAAAAAACTGGGGCCTGTAACTACGGTGCTGTCTGCACACTTGCACTTGTGAGCAACGAGAACCAGACAAATCATCAACAAATTCCCCCCTTGGACCCACTGAGTCAGCAAAACAGACATGAGAATCCTATGCTCGCTCCACAAAACAGCCTGGGATTTATTTGCACCTTGTTCCCATGAGCTCCACTGATACTCACAACTGCGAGGAGGCTGGGCTGCTGGGGATGGAGTCGGCCAGTGTGTGAGACTGCAGAGGTGCATTATGGACACTGAAGCCATCATCACTCTCACTCACAGGGGGCTCATTATCCATCTCTGATAGATACCCCTCTCCCTGATCTTCTTCTTTGGGTTCCTCCAAACTGGCAGCCTCACTGGCACCATCCTCATCATCCTCTTCACCCTGCCCATCCTGAAACAGACAGTTTGTGAGTCTGCACAGCCAGGAACAGCAGTAGCTCAGAGCCTCCAAAGCAACCATGGTTCAGCAAGCAAAGTGATTTCTTGCTACAGCTCCTGACAACTGTACAGGCACTTCCACAAAATCCTTGTCACTCTATCCTGCCCTGTTTCTCCCCACAGACACAAACACACGTACACACAGCCTCACAGTGCCTGAATAAATCTCCGGAGCTCCAACTGCCCAATTCTCTTCTCAGTGCAGAAAGCTGTACACAAGCTTTGCTTTTCAGCAGATGAGAGCAAGGAAGCAGCAGCAGTGAGGTGTTAGTAATGAACCCAAGATGACTACAACCAATCCAGAATTACCTTCATCTGACTCCTAAACAGGGCTTGGGCCTCCTCCTTCATTGACTCTGTGAAAAGAAGAAAAGCAGAAAGGTTGATTCTCCAAAGCAGTCTTTCCTACAAAAGCTCCTGCACAAATTCCTATTGTCCTGCAGTGATTACCACTGTTCCTACGTATCTTTTCTCCCTCCTCCCCAAAAAACCTGAACCAGATCACTGACATCTATCCAGCTAATAATGTCGCATGTAAAAGATTTCCTAGCTGAATTAAGTTACCTGACAGCTCAAATTTGTGCTGAACACCAGCCTGTGAGGAGTCTTCACTCACATTTGGGACTTGTGGAGGGGATGAATCATCATCAGGTGGGGTCTGGAGGGAAGAGAAATGCACAAATCTAGATGTTTGTGTCAGCTTACTTCAGTGAAGGTGTGGGCACATCTCACTCACCCTAACCTAACTGAAGGCAATGAAGTTCACTGAGTATCTTCCCAACAGCAGTTCTGCACGTGGACGGGGGGAGATACATAAAGGTACTGCCTAAAGCAGAGAGTTTCTCTGCAGATCGAACAGATCAGCAGCATGACTCCCAAGAAAACAGTCAGTCACATTCATTGAAGGGTCACGTCAACCCAGCAGTCATCCTTCCTCTAAACTTCTCTCCTACCTGCCACAACTGCTCCTTTCTTTCCCCACACCAGTTCCAGACAGCCTCTCTGCTCACATACCTCTGTCTTCACTGCATTGTGCACTGCGTCTTCTCCCTTGACCAATTCTATCTCAATTTCAGAAGGCTCTCCTGCTGCTACAGCTGCTCTTTGATCCTCTTCTATCTCTTGACTTCTAAGCTCTGGTGTTTCTGTCACTCTTGGAGTTGCTGGGATGGTCTCCTCAGGGACCAGCTGATTCTGTTCTTGCTCTGCAGGTTCAGTCTTTATTTCTGATCCCAGCTCGCCAATGCCTATTAGGTCTCGAATTCCCTTTGCCTCTGGCTCCTCACACTCCAGTCTCTCCTGCTTCACAGTCACAGACACTTGGGCTATCTGGGCCTGCTTCTCATGCTCCTGATGAATTGAATGTTCCCATGGGCCAGGAAGTGTCTGAGGGTCATCGGTGTCTTCGCAGAAAGAAGACAGAGCAGCCTCAACAACTGCAGCATCCAGGACTTCAGGGTGATCATCTCCCTTTATTGCCAAAACAAACATACAGCAGTACAGGCCAAGGTCAGAAAGAGGAATTTAAAAATAAGTTAATGATATTTGGTAATGAAAAATTGCACAAAACCTGGCATACTGGGTTTACAAAGTTGCCTTTTGCAGCCAGACTCGTATCCTTCCCTGCAGAGTCTCCTGAGGAACTTGTTTCAGAAATACAGCACTCCAGGAAAGCAGGCTGCAAGCTCCTGGGTCTGCCAGGGATGTGACCCAACCCTACCCAACATGGGGAAGATTTTTCTGCACTCTGAAGAGCAGCACCAGGCTGAACGTGGCAGAACAAGAATGGTGAGAATTTGTATTTTGGAACAGTTATTTCTTGCTCATTTAACTCACTAAATTGGTGAACAGTAATCACTTGAGGTTAACCTAACAGGATATGGAGCAAAAGGCACTGGCACTCTGCCCTTTCCGTTTACCTTGTCCTCAATGATGGCTATAATATTTCCAACTGTATCGAAGTCCAGCTCTTCTCCTGTATAGGACACTGCAATATCCATTTTCTCAGCCAAATCCAGGTCTTCTTTCCCATCAATGCAGTGATCTTTGGAAGACCCTGCAGCGCTGCCAGCCCCAGAACCCAGGCACTCTTTCTTGATGGAATCAATGATCATGGAGATTTCACTGCTGTCCATAGACACTGTCACAGTATGGGAATCAGACACTGCCTCCATGGAAACACAGGCTTCTGGCTGGCTCACTGCACAAGGATGAGAGTGACAATCAGAGACCACTCTGGAGAAGTCAAGGCCACATAAACTAATACTGCAGAAAATAAGACCAAACACCAACTGCAAGTACCCCAGGTCCACCCACAACAGCATGGCTTAGAAAAATAAAAGATATACCCAGGTTTGCTTTCACCACAGTAGAGACACGGCGAGATTCCAACCCTTGAACCACAATCCAGCAACATACCAGTAGCAACCCCACTCCCACCCAGCAAGTCCTGTTTAAAACCATCTGTTCACTGCAGAACCCAGCCACGACCATCCTTCCATCGGGGATGGTGACTCGAAAATGAGGAAAAGCCAGCTGAGAGCTTGCTGGGAGCTGATCCCAAGGGCATGTCCATTTTCCAGCAGTGCACGACCTATGAGTGCATAGGTCAGGAACGCACCTGTGACTACGCTGTCTGGAGCTGCAGCTGGTGGCACAACCGACGGTGCTGACAGCGTGGGCATCATGACAATGGTTGCCTGCGGCACAGGCTCTACGGGGGGTGGCAGGAGCTTAGCTGGAGGTTCGCTGGCAACAGCGGAGAAGGAAGCAAGAGGTGAGGTGAACTGTGCAGGACCAGCTTCTAAAAGCCGGGAAAGCGTAGGAGCACCTAACAGAGAGTAGAAGGGAAAAGCACATGAGCAAGAAGCAGCCACCACCCAAGTCCACAAAGCCACCGCTGGGCTCTTCATTGTCTGGTGGCTTCTTCTGGGAAAAGACAATGAGAGGTACCTATAAATGGTCCCCAAAAGATACACAGAGAACCTGCACCAAAACTGCATGACTTCTTTGTGTGTGGAGTCTGAGACAGAATCATGCAGCCCATAGGACACTGTGTTCAATGTAAGGGCTTGACAGGCTAAGCTACACATGCAGGGAGAAGCCCTTCCAAAGGCCCATCCCAACACAACGATGGGAAACCCGGAAAACAGCACCAAGAGCCACACAAGGTAAGCCAAGACAAACAGTTATCAGAGGAGCTGGGAGGGAGCAGAGGGGGGATCTCTTTGCAGGTCCTTCCTGGAGAATTCCTCTTATATCACAGGTTGCCACTCATTTTTAGCTGTAATTTCTAGTCTGAATTTACTGAATCATCTGGACCAAATTTACAGGTCTTAAAGAAGAGATGTGGATAAGGGAAGTGAGATGACTTGTACAGAATTGTAGATGAATGAATGGCATAAACTCTCAGTTGCAGACAATGTGACTCAACTGTGACTCCAAACCAGAAGCTGAAAAGAAACTTCACCATAGCCAAGTTGTTCTAACAAGGCCCCATGCAGACTCCTGCATTGCCCCTCTCACCCCTCTGTGGAACTTACTCTGGAGCTCATGTTCCACTGTGGTCTAATCCTCAACAGACCTCTAAGCTAAAACAGATGTAAGACATATGAGTTATCCAGATTCACAGGGAGCTGCAAGTTTGACACATCAGGGATCAGATACTAGACCACTTTTTCCCCAACTTCCTGTCTACTAACCCTTTCTTTCTACACTGGAATGCCTGGTATTAGGCAGAGTCAAACCCAGAAAACTAGACTGTAGGGATCAGTGTCAAATCAAGCCTAATTGTTTGAATGAATGGCATAAACTCTCAGTTGCAGACAATGTGACTCAACTGTGACTCCAAACCAGAAGCTGAAAAGAAACTTCACCATAGCCAAGTTGTTCTAACAAGGCCCCATGCAGACTCCTGCATTGCCCCTCTCACCCCTCTGTGGAACTTACTCTGGAGCTCATGTTCCACTGTGGTCTAATCCTCAACAGACCTCTAAGCTAAAACAGATGTAAGACATATGAGTTATCCAGATTCACAGGGAGCTGCAAGTTTGACACATCAGGGATCAGATACTAGACCACTTTTTCCCCAACTTCCTGTCTACTAACCCTTTCTTTCTACACTGGAATGCCTGGTATTAGGCAGAGTCAAACCCAGAAAACTAGACTGTAGGGATCAGTGTCAAATCAAGCCTAATTGTTTTGGTCATTTTAGATTAAGGCAATCTTTTTTTTTTTCTGGAAGGATTACAGTAATCTTAAGAAAAAGTAGGGGTGAGAGGGGCAAGGGTACAGAAGTAAGAATACAACTCATAAAGAAGCCACACTCTGAAGGCACATCTGAAGGGAGAACTGTACAGGGAGAGCCCCGAGTTACCTGAAGCAGCAGGAGATGCAGGGACAGCACCAGGTGCCGACTGCATTTCCCCACTGTGCAGCACTGGGAGGACGCTTCCTACCTCCAGCAGGACTCCTGAGCTGTTTATGTGACCAGAAGCCACTGCCATTTCGTTTTCACTGACCTGCCAAAGGAGGACACAACTGAAATTCCTGGAGATACCAGCACATCCGTGATTTTCTGACAGACAGGCACCTTCACAAGTATGTCCATCATTTGCTGTCTCAGGATTTCTTTTCCACTTCTTGTCCAGTCTAATACCTGCCCGAGGCCCTTTATGCCAGTGCACAACATGACAGTCTGAAACTAGTGGTTGTTCTTCAGCTACAATACAGCTGCAGTGCCACCTTCCTTTAAAGTCAGGCCAATACATCACTTGCTCTACCTCAGCTCCTTTGCTCAAGGACCTCACAATCCTTTACAGATACCAATCTCTCTACCCCCTGAGATGGCATGGAACTATCCCATATTTTAAGCTGAGGAAAATGGCAGTACCAAGATGGAGAGCAACTCTATCAAGGTCACATAGTAAACCTGGGACAGGCCTTGAAGCAGAGGTAAAACAATCCATTAGATACAAAGAAAACCACAGTTTTCTTCCACAGTCACTGTATTTTCTTGCTCTACCCTATGTTACATTGCACCCTGCAGACATGGAACCCATGGAACATTTACCCAAGGTAACAAATAGAAAAGAGACCAAATCTGACTATTAAAAAAAGGGATTCGACAGCAATACACCTTCTCCATCACACGAGCACTAATACAGGGAATCTGTGCCATGGACAGGCTGATGGTTGCTCTTTTCAGACTGGGCTCTGAACAGTGCCAGCAATGGTCACCCTCTTATCACTCCCAGAGTCACTACCACCAGAAGGGTCAAACTGGATTGACACCACAGTGACTTCAGTAACTGCCTACAGCCACGAGAAGACTGAAGCACTTCAATATTGGTCATAAACCCCATCAGAAGATTCCCTATTTCCATGCTAAGACCCAATAAAAGTACTGAAACTCAACTTCCTGCCAAGATGTAAAGAAGGATTGTGAGCCCAAAGTAGAAATCACCAAAACACCTCCATGCAGACTGATAGGACTATGCTGACTAACACACCCCCTCCCCAGGGAGCACAATTTCCTCTACCAAAGCCTCCAACACCGACGCCTTATGACTGAGGGGAGAGAGCCAGTCCTATGTGAAGAATGATTTCTGCAGTCCTGCACCCACAGCACTGTCAGGAAATAGTCCCACCTCTGTGGCTCACAGGGGTAATTATATCTCTCAGATATCACTTCTGTTGGGACTCTCACCAAAGCTTTATGTTTTTAAAAAGCCTTTGCAGCTCCCCCTTTTTCAGTGGGAGAGTCTGGAGCAAATTGTGTGCTTGCATATATGAGCAGAGAGCTCCATACCAGCCTGGGGCTTGTGGGCAGGAGACTGCCCTTCTTCAACAGCTCTGACAGCAGAGGGGAAGGAGGCGGAGTTGCTTTTTGTCCTAGCATCTTTTTCTGGGGTGAATCATCAGTGACTGGGGTCATGGGGGTATCCAGGGGAGCAGAGCCTGGAGGGGTGTCAGGGATTCCAATGAAGGAGGCAACTGGGGTGCTGGGCAATGTCCCTGGAGTGACCTGAGAAAGAGAAAAACCACACTGTTCAAAGCCACACTCCACCACACGGACTAGCCCCACTTGCACATTGATCCAGCACACCACAGACACCTCCTCCATCCACTCGCTACACTGACTCCAGGCATGTGCTCTCACCCTTTCCCTGCCCTGTAGCGCCACTTCCCAGGCACACACAAGACTGCCTGGCCAACCCACTGGTGCCCCTACACAGCCTTTGATCCAGGCACCTGATCACCACAGACATGAAAAGGACACGTATCTCGAGCAGCACTATACACCAACCACACTACAGCACTACCACAGCCCAAAGTCTGCAAAACAAGGCAAAGGCTTCTCCCCAGGCCCCTGATCCATGATGGATGCAGAGCCCCATGGTTCAAGCTGGTCTTTCTTTCTTCCCATGGGAAGCACCCTTACCCCTGGACTGGCCTCATCCACAGCAGGCTGAGACAGATCTCCTAGGGAATAGTCTCCCCCTGGGGAGGTTGAGCCTGCAGGGGAACGAACCATCACACCCGTCAATCGTCGCGGTGGATTCTTGATGGCCTGACGAGCTGGAAGAGAACACAAAGTATAGTGAGATCCCACAACTCCATCTCGGAGCAACCTCTGACTTGATCCTGAAGAAGCCCACTGAAACAATTTATGTTGTAGGAATTTATTGCACTGCACCTTGCTCAGTTCACAAACAATACAAGCACTGGGTACTGCACTTCAGTTTCAGATCTCCACAGCAGCTGGGTACTCAATACCTCTCACCACTGGCAGCTTAGTTCACTAACTGTCTTATGAATTAATTAACACCCAATCTGAATCTCTCTGTTTTCTCTTCAGACAATAGTAAAACTATAGGGAAAAATAGAGGGTTGAAAAGGCTGATGTTCTAACAGAGACCTCCTTGCCAATCTTACTTCCTCTTAGAAAGACCTTTTCTATTGATTTTTTTCCCCTTCTCAGAAGTCTCTGCATTTTTCCCTGTTACAAATACAGTGCTAGAAAGAGAATATAGTATTTCTTTATAAATCCTAGGGTCATGGAAATCCTTCAGAACAGGTCTCATTGAGACTTAAATGTTTCCCAAATGTTCTTATGAACACACACATCTGTCTCTGTGGAGGAGTAAGGAAGCTCATTTCCAGCTTACCCTGATAAGCAGCATCCGTAGCCTTCCTCTTGACTTCTGCCTCCTCCTCCTCCATTTTTTTCTTTCTGTATAGAGAACCAAAACCTAGTGTCACACAGTGTCCCACTTCCCCTTAGTTCCTACTGCAACCTACTGACCCCCACCCCATTATCTCCAGCCAAAAATGATACCCCTTTGCAGACAGTTCAAATCCTTTGAGGAGTGAAGCAGAGCCAGAAGCCAGTTGAAAAACACCACACTTAGCAGGAAATTTCACTTCCAGCTGATTATTAAAAGGGAGGATGCAAGCATGATGTCACAAATCCATATAGAGCTCTTCACTGAGAAACTCCAAAAGATGTTCCACACAAGTTGGTGCCCCCAGTTTAAACTAAGTCCACCCTCAGATGCTAAAGCATCTGCCATCTGCCCTTAACCCAAAGCATGCGAAGCAAGGGGTCTGACAAACACAAAGCACCAGGCAACTACAATCTCAGAAGAAAGAATGATATTGAGATAATTAAATAACCCACATCATAATCTCATTGCACAGCTCCTCCAGTCTGTTATCCATGTGTCCGGCCTGGATCAGCTCTGCATCCTTCTTGAGTTGCCTGTAATCAGAAAACTCACTCACTCATCATGGAACAACACACCCCAAGCAGCTTTTTCACCCCAAGCACCATCTAACTTAGGCCACTTTTTCAAGGCAGGACTCTAGGGTGCACCACAGGTTAAGGCCTCTACCACAGACCTGTATTTCTCCTGTGTTTCTTTAATAATTTTCTTCAACTCCTCAACTCGTTCTGCTGTCAGTTTCCGCACAATAACATCTTCCACAGTTTCTACAACTTCTCCCTTCTCACCACGTTTTCTCCTTTAGCATAAGAGAAAATAAAAACAGTTCAGACATGAAGCACAGAAAACCCCAGTTCTCCTTTCATTCCTGACACAAACATGCACCAATAAACCGATCTTCTCTTCCAGTTTTTCTTAAATGAGATTGGACAGCACCACCTTCAAATAATCTCTTCTGAAAGAAATTCTTAAACACATCCAGTGTGAAAGATTTTAGGAGTAGATCAAAGATGCAAGCCCACCACAAACTCTCTCCCTGAGAGAAAAATCTCAATCACTCAGCACTATCACAAACAAATTCTCTTTTTAAACATTCTGCCTTTAATTGAATTTGAGGTGAAGTCCCAAACCAAAATGCTTATATTTAGGAGTGAGAAATATCTTGAGCCCAGGAAGCTGTAATTACACCATCATCAAGAAAACTGCAAGAAGCCACTGCAAAATAGAGACACATAGAAAACATTTTCCCTTCTCAACACTTGCTGTCTTTTCTACTCCTATTCTGAATGATTTTATGAGTAAAGCTTATGATCAATAAGACTAACTGTGCAGTGTTTTATTCCAGGCAAATAAATGTCTCTTTTTGCAGCATGAAGTCCCCAAATGCACTGCAACTCTTACAAAGGGAGCTGTGGCAATGAGGCCCCAGTTCCTCTGCCATGTACTGTCATGATGTGGGGACACTAACGAGTGCACAGTGACCACTGTTAGAACCACAGAATACTGGAAACACTCTGGTCTCACGAAAAAAAAAGGATATATGGGAAGCCTGTTCTAAGAAATACCTTGGCCTTGCCAGTCTCCCCCATCTGCAACACCCTGAGCCCACTGTCCACCCACAGCTGGATCTCGTTCCTGTAGGCTCCTTCAGGAAGGAGCACTGCCAAGCCCTTTGCTTTAACAACTGACAGTTCAAGCAAAACCGCAGCAGACTGCACTTGCTCCAGACTTTGTACTCACTTCGGGGTCTCTGTAGTCTCCAAGAGCTCTGAATACTGAGATGCACAGTGCTAAGAAGAAAGAAAAGAGTCAGAGAACACCAGAGTCAGCATTAGCAAACATCTATCAACAAAGCCTACAGGGCATTTACTCTTACTTCTTTAAAGGTCTAACACTTTATGAACATATCTGACAAAGTTTCCCACATGGCTGTAGCACAAAGTGAGGAAATATATTTGCTCTTTAACTCTAGCACTGCCCAAGCTGATCTCCTAAACAAAGCTAAAGAACAGAGGCTTCCAACTAACAATTTAGAAATCAAAGCAAGTGTGATTAGGAAAATCATAGTCACAACATACCCATCTATGAGGATGAACTACAAATATTTCAATGGAGAAAACAACCTTATATCAAGGTCAGTTTCATAGCTTAACAGAAACAGTAGGCAATAGAGAATCTAACTTCTCCTCCCTTGATTTTCTTTTCACTCTGTCCCTCATGCAACAAAAATCCCATGCACTTGCCCAGACACCAGGACACACCAAAATAGATGGGCATCCAAAAATTCCTGGGGCAAGGAACTCCACAGCTTAATTAGATGCACGGTGAAGAAAAATCTCTTGGTTTGCTTTGCACCTGCCTTCTGTTAGTTTTACTTAATAACCCTGACATCTTGTACTGGACAAAGCACTGAACTTATCCTGAATCCTTTATCACTGAATCCTTATTCATCCTCAATTTTCTGCCACTTCTGACTGTGCAGACATCTGTTATAATCCCATTGCTCATTTCTTTTTTATGTTAAGGGGTCTACTTTACTCAGCTATCCCTTACAAGGAAACAGTTTCATGTCTTTCATCATCCCTGTCTTTCCTTAACCTTATTCCAACTGTACTGTAAGCTCTAATTTAATTTCACAAAGTGTATTGAATATGATTTATAAAACCCTGATTTTTTAAAATTATTTTTGCCATCTTTTTTAAAAATAAGAAATATGTACTCTTAGTCTTACGTATCCCCTGCAGAACTCATTTTTCCCACGACTCAAATGTCTGTATCTTACCTTCTGGGAAAACCAGTCAGGTGGGCGTCCTGGCTCTGCAAAAGGCTTGATAGCTCTGCTGACTGAGACCCTGCAGGAGGGAAACTGTCCGTTACCATCAACTTACTTTCTTCCCCAATGAACATCCAGAAAGAAGATGCTGACCTGTCTTCATCTTCATCACTGAACAGCCCCCATGAACACAAAGAACTTGACAAGACAAAATTGCTATACTGAGAAATTATTCAAGTACAGCCCTTGGACTCAAAGATATTTGCCTGCTCCTAAACAAACACCTTTAAAAAGGTGTTTGAAAAGCAAGTTTCTAGCTTCTGATGACACCATTACATTTGCATAAACCCCTTACTTTGGTGAGGGCAAAAGGCAGCAAAACAGAGCTACAAGTGCACAAGCAACGCACAGGAGTCTGTTATCAAATGTGCCACAACCACCTCCTCCAGTTTATGCTGGAATAACAGCACTATTTGTTGTGATTAACACCCTTCTGCCTTCACAGAGAAGTTACGAAAGAAGCAAAAAGATTCTTACGGTTCCTATCTTAACACTTCCATCCTCAACAGCCCAACTTGGTTTTGAACAGAAAGCACAGGAGAAGCAGCAGTGCTTCTGAGGAACACCCCGGCACAGCCCGCGCTGTCCCGCACACCCACCGGGCGAGCAGCGCCCGCCGCTCGGGCCCCGCTCCCTCACCAGGGCCGGGCCCCGCTCCCTCACCAGTTCTGGTCCCCGCTGCGCATGACGGAGGAGGCCAGGCAGAGCTTCTCGCGGATGGACCAGGGCTCGGTGGGTCCGGCGCTCAGCAGCTTGTGCTCTGCCGGGAGAGGGGAGGGGAGGGAGTGCCCGGGAGTGCCCGGACCCGCCGGGACCC